CTCTTCCCCACCCTCTGCTCTCTGGCTGCAGCACAGGCACAACTTCCAACCATAGGAACAGCTGTGCAGCTTTCAGGTTGGGAGAGCAGGCCGTGGGGATGTGGAAGCAGTGTGGATGCAGCTTCCCTCCAGCCAGGCAGCAGCGGGCTGGAAAAGGTGGCAGCGGTGCCAGCACAACTCCCAACTGCCTGGCCCCACACAGCCACAGGCAAATTCCCCTTGCTGCTGATATACCACAGACACCACCTGATCCATGCCAGACTGGAGCCTAGTTGTTCTGGTCTGCACCTTGAAAAGGGTGCCAATCCCGGTCTTAGAGCCCTGCTGTTTGGGGCTTGTTTATTGCATTAAAGACGCTCAGTCCCACTGGTGCTGCTCCCAAGCTTCAGGCACTTAGGTCAGCTTTGGATTGTGAAGCATTTCAGTGATCTAATGCCTATTTTTTCTCACTGCAGGAGGGGAAATGAGCCCCCAACTTTTGCCCCTGCCCGTAGATCTGGAGGCAGAAAAGTAATTGAAAATGCATCAGAAGTTTCAGAAGAGGAAGCCGATTCAAGAGATGGCGACTTCAATGGAACAAAAGCCAGTGAATAGATAACACGCTTGCCAATTACACTGCAGCAAGGGGGGAGGGAAGACCACATCTAGCACTGTATTCATCTACTTTTAGTTCCAAAGCCACACACACTCCTATGGTGATAGAAGCACAGCTGTCTTCTCTCCAGTCTATAAACTGAAGTTGTGTTGCAAACAACTGTTTATCAGGAAATGTATTTTGAAACAGGTTTTCTTTAAATTAAGAGTAATTCACCTTAGGATTTTCAGAATGAAATTGAATTCTAGAGTGTGAGACCATTTAAATCCCAGTGGACTGCAGTTCACACAACCACAAGAGTGTTACAGAAAAAGCCATTGTCCAGTTAAACCTTTCCTAATCCAGTCTACCCTTCATTTTGTCTCAACTATTCAATTACTATAGGCATTCTCTTCTGGAAGCTACACCCCCCGATGCACCATTCACAAAATGGAAGTGCCTTCTTTAATCACAGATTGAAAAAATAAAATATCATTTGTTCAAAGCCAAATATTACTGTTTCATGTGCACCTTGGATGTGCTCACACACTAATAAATGGTTATCAATCACTAGAGTTAAGTATTTTTCTCTTCAGGTCTCACTGGGGTGCAGTATGATACACTGGAAGGGAACTTAATTGGCTTCTGAGCTTCTTCAAAAATTAAAATGCCCTTTCCCAAATGTCTAAATTTGTATGGGCTGATTTGTATGGCAAAAAGTGTTTTGCAATGAGCAGGGCAAAAGGGCTATGAATAAAAACAGCTTCTAGAGCATTTTATACTGCATCTAGCAGTTGATAAACAAAACCCACAAACTGCTACATTTAGTGCAGTGATCCATACCATGCCACTGTGCACTTTAAGTGACTACCTTATTGGCATTTATCACTGCTTGAGAGTTATAATGGTACTGTCACTTCCAGGGACTTCCAGGAACTAATGGATTGGTACCCATTATTTCCAGCAGCTGAAGGCAGTAGTATTATGTACCGTGGGCCTACACACAGCCCATGCAGTGGAAATAGAAGTGTAGAATGTTAAACACTATAGATTTTAATGCAGATGACCTTTAGATGACCTCTACCAGCAGGCACAGGGTCTAGGAAGTAACATCCATCTAGCTGCCTCAAACTGAATACAGATCAACACTTAAAAAATAAATTAGACTCCCTTGCGCCCACAGAATTAGTCCAAGGTATTCAGAGGCAGCTGTATTCTCCCTGCTTAAAAAAGCAAGTAAGAATGCAGCTGGAGGGTTTGTTTTTTTTTAGAAAAGCTGGTACCAAACTGGTGCAGGGCAGTATTCATTGCTCAGCCACTTGGATTACACCCCTCACCATTGTTCCCTTACACTCCAGCCGGCAATGTAGAAAAATGGAAGAAGTTTGGCTTCAAACAGCTGATATAAAGCAGCCTTACTCACAGGGCCCAAGAGCTGAACCTGTCACTGGATGCTGGGTTCTTCCAGAGAGAGTGTCACGTGTATGTCTGCAAAGGCACCAAAGAAAAATGAAGGCTGGTCTTCTGGTTGGGTTCTAGGAGTCACAGGTTCAAGTGTCTGTTCTGCAAGCCCTGTGTGGTATCAGAGACCCAGAAAGGGTATATCTACATTTGGACATTTACCAGAACAATGATTTTGAAATAAATTAGGGGGCTGGACTCGATGATCCTTCGCAGTCCCTTCCAGCCCAAATGTCTATGAATCCTCCATGTGATGTTTGTTCCAGGATAAAATATGTTTCCACAGGGAGCTATTCTGACATTTTTATACACGTAAACAAGCCTTCAGACTCTCTTATGTCTTAGGTCCCTAGCTTGAAAATAATAATATCACTTCCCTATTCCCTAGCTCAGAGAGAAACAGGAATCAGATTTTTAAATGTGTTCAACCACCTAAAGATTTTGGCAGGCAATTTAGTACATCTCATGACCTTCCTCATTACAGTAACGAAGGCCACATAAATGAAAGACAGCGCTTCGCTAGGAATCACTCCTAGAGACGTGGCCATCAGGACTAATACCCCCCCCAGGCACAAAACAGTAGGAGTGAGAAGAATACTGTCTGAACTCTTTACACTTGATAAGTATGGCTGTGTTTCATGCTACATATAGCAGAACAAACAAGCTGAGAAACTGATAGACCAATATTTGTACATAAATTGTAAATACAACTTCCAGTGAATTCAGAGTGGATCAGGTAATGTTAACCACAGACCAGCATTCAGAATAAGCTTTATTCTGTTCACTGATAAAACCAGACATTATAAAAAGAGTGGGATTAACCTGAGGTTATTTCCTATACCGTAGACATACAGTGCCTGAGAAAGACACTGTTACAACAGTACCTGAATGCTGAGTCAAACATAAAAAACACCTTCTTTATCTATTCATAATTTGTGCAAAAATAGTGCAAAAAATATTTGTTACAAATTTCTATGATATAATATTGATACAAGTGACTTTGCTCCATTAAAAAAAAAGCTCTTATTTTATTGGATAAAAACCTACTTTAAAAAATTCATTTTAATACTTTGACCAGCATTAAGGATTTCTCAGGTTAAAAAGGCATTTCTAAGTTAGTATCAGGAGCAACTAGAAAGGGTGCATTCTTACACTAAACACACAAGGCACATCAATAATAGGAGGTTTAGAAAGCAAAAAAAAAAAAAAAAAGCTCCACCATTGAGATCATAACCCAAGGAAGACGGTCATGTGGAAATTGCAGGAAACCTGAATGTGTTCATTAAATCAGTGCAAAGAACCATGGCACATTCTGGCTGTCTTGAAAAATGCAGCCATTGAGCATTCCCTGCCTCCTTCAACCAGTAGGAAATCTTAATGAAAAGTCACTTTCTCCAGCCTCAAAGGCAGATGGTCAATGAGATTCCAGCAATAAAATTTCTCCACGTAGTCTCATATAAAGCTTACTTGCAATTGCATTGTTGTTTATCCAGAGTCTCACCTTGGAACTAATGGAAGAATATCCTGCCTCCCAATTTGGGTTACTGATGTGTGTGGCCTGCACTAGAAAGTTATCATCGTGATTCAAGCTAGAACAGTAGTTGTGCTGCATACAATGACATTTGTTATTTATTTGGGGAGGGTGGGAAATAGTGTCTCTTCAGATGGCAGTGGCAGTTTATACCAGCAGTGTCACAGAAGAAGCCCTCAAGAAGCTAATATACAGCAGCTGACAGGATTCACAGTCCCATGCTACTTTGTCACAGGCTGAGATGAAGGTTGTTGCATTTCCAGCTCATTTACCCTTATTCCAGTTACTTACTACTGCAACTCTATGTTAATATCCTGTTTAGAACTAAAGAGCTTGGAAGAGTTTTCTCCTTTGGGGAAAAAAAAACAAAAACCAAAATGCTGTGGTCTTAATCCCATGATCTTCTCAGAGTAACATCTTGACTACACCTTGTGGGGAATGGGCCATTGGGGCTCCAATGTTTGAAGGCCTTGTTCCAAACTCCAGACGTTTCACTAACCTGTGGATACAAACAGGTCCATTACTGCATGAGCTGTATGAAGGGCTTGCATCTGCAATCTTTGCTAGGCTGCTGATAAACAGTTTGAGGTATTGACAGCACCTTCCTTCCCAAAGTCATTTCTGAAACTAACTTGGCATATCACTAAACCTCCACCTCCATTTCCATATCCCGCCCAGGCAGCAGCAATGGTGTCAGCTCTGGCTCTGGCCCCAGGTCAAAGCCAGAAGCGCAGCAGTTCCCCTGCTGTTGTGTGGTCTCCCCCACTCTCCCTGCCATGCACCCCCTCCTCTGCTGCATGAGCCACTCCAGTCCAGGTCATGGCAGCAGAGGCAACAGCTCCAGCCCCAGCCCAAGGCTACAGTGCAGCTGATGCAACCACCTGCCCCGAGCTGGTATTCAAATCCAAAACAAGTCCCCCGCCACCCCCACCCTGTTCAGTGGACGGGGGGAGAAGGAACAGAAACCTTGTCTTGGATATGAGTGAATACAGTAATCAAAAAGGGTGAAGGCTTTAAGGTAACAGGTCAGAGCAACATTAACATTCAAAGCCTAGGACTAACCCTGTATCACACAGGGGGAGATGGGAAGGGCCCAGTCGTTCAAAGCCATCTCTGCTCCTGTTCATGAATGGGGATGAGGACACGATGGTTCTGTTCGGCGACTGGTCATACACAAAATTCCGACACGATGCAAGCTTGGACTCCAAGGCCTGGAGAAAACACATTTTGTCTAAGGGTTAGACATCAGTCTTCTCCCTGGCACTAGGTCCAAGGGAAGATTTTCTAATAATTTAAATCTATGGTAAAAGGTGTTTGTGGCTAACCCCAGGAGGCGCACATAAGCTCTCAGGAAGGAAGATGAGAGATGCTGCAGATATACAATGGCCACTTCCTTCATGATCATCAGGGATTCGTATTTTCCATTTGCCATGGAAAAACGTGAACTTTCTTTTTTAAAAGGAGAAAAATGTAGAAGATGGTACGGTAAACCTACCATCCTCTACGTTTCTGCAAGGGGCTGCTTGGGGCTGTGGGTGGGAGCAGGACAAGAGGTGTGCACATGCACGTGGCAGCAAGGCAGCAGTGGAAAGCAGCTCCTGCTGCCCCCTCCAGTTAAGTTTATGGGTGAGGGGGCTCATGGTCCATGCAGCAGGGGGCATGGGTGATGCAGTGGGGGGGGGGGGGGTGTCACGTGCCTGTGCCCCCACTCCCCTTCCCCACACACTGAGGGGCTGGGGCACAGGGGGCATCAGATCAGGAATGACAGTCACAAGAAGAACGGGGTGGGGGGTGCTATGGGCCAGGAGTGAGGGGCACCAGGATATCAAAACTGTTTAGCACCACAGAGCAGTGGGGGAGGGAGGGAAACACAACAGACATAGCCATAGCTTTTGTCCTGGTAAGCGAAGGGGGCAGGGGAGCTCTGATTTTCCATTTTAAAAACCAAAATCAAATGCCAAAATGTATAGGTATTTAGAATGTGTGTATACATATACATATGTAAATAGTATTGTTTCATTTTAATCACAGAAAAACAGATTTTTAGCTTTTTTTAAATCAGAGAATTTGGAATTATTAAACAGAGCAAACTAGGATCCCTGATGATCATGCCCTTTATGTTTCATTATTACATGGCTTTTCTGAAGAAATTAACTCTTAGGGTAAGGAGGAGAAAGCCACTAAATGCCGAGTTGAGTTAATCAAGAAAGTCTTGACTGCCACAGAAATGTTAACAGCTCTTTTATAACAGGGCGACTCCTATAGGCCTCGTTTCTTTGTAAGCCTGAATGTTCTTTCAAGCCTTCCACCCTCAACAAGTTAAGGTTCAGGCACCACGCCGAATGTCTGGGAGTTGCTACTCAGGAATTGCTAGAGGGGGCTAGACACTATGCAGGACACTACAAGGTATACCAGTGCAGGGGCCACCAGAAGCCCTCCTGGCAGTGTACGTTAGCATGCCTGAATCACCCTCTTCCAGAGTGCAGCATATTCCCCCACCTCAAACTGCTCCCATTTACACTGACCAGCTCTGCTTTCCCTTTCCCTGACCCTTCCTCGTCCTCTTCCAGAAAGCTGGAAAGGAATTACAGTCAAGCTGATCAGCATCTGGCATGGGGCAAAGACCAGAGAGGAACAACATTCAGCGTTTAATCAGCTGCGTTATATCGAGAGACAGGTCAGAGTTATAAAACACAGATTCAAATTCCAAAGCTCTCCCTTGCAGAATTCAAGTCTGCCTGGAGCCAAGTGTTGGTCTGAGTTCATCTCTATGGATTCACTCATTTAACAATACAAAGGCTAGTAGCTCCTTTCCCTCACACAAGTCCAACCACTTCCACCGCCCCTGATTAGCCTTGGTCTCAACCACTCACCCCTACTTTCCGTAGCAAGTCTCCCACAATGTTAAGTGCGGATATCCTAGCAGCTGGCGTGAGGGGAGCCCCACTGTAACCATCTTCAAAACCTTGAGGAGAAATGAAAAAATAGGGTTATGCGTTCCATCACATATGTGCAAAGCAGAGAAGCCTTTAACCGCTGACAACAGACCATAGGACATATGATGGCAAATGTAAATATTTCCTCCTCACCTTTTATCTGAATTACACTTCTCATTACAAAAGAAATCTCTGTGTCTTTGAGACTACACTGGGTCACCGCAGAGATGAAGTACCCACAATGTGCCCTGGCTTCAAAAGCCCTTTGACTTCACAAGGAGCATTCTGCATCTCTATCACTTGCCATGAAACCAAAAACAAGCAGCACATAAAATATTTCCTTCACAGAAATCAAGGGATCCCAGACTGTATTCCCTGTTTCAAGAATTCCTTGCTCCTCTGTTTTTTATGAGAGGATCTTTTATAGCAGCTTTTTTTTTTATAGAATAGAGGGTTTGGGGATAGGAATACCTGGGTCAGAAGCATTTAGAATTTATCAACACTTGTCACAGCTGTTATATTATATTATTAGTATTGAATATCATCACAAGAAACCAACTCTTCCCTGTATACAAGCCCAAAAATACAGCTGAGCTTTCTATACTAGATTTCTGGGTAGGAGGATAGATGGGGAAGGGTTTTTTTTAAAAAGTATGGATGATTGGAGACAAGAAGAAGGAGGGTGTTGTTTAACTAGTCAGTGCTCATGAAAACAAACAACTAAAAGTATGGATAAGGGCAAGCAGTTAGCAGTTTGCTACAGATGATGCAGACAGTGATACGGTCACTCTCCTGCTGTTTTGGAGCTAAGTGTCTCTAATTCAGCAACCATCCTCTGGCTACTTCAACATCTTTGCACAACCAAGAGTACTAGCACATGTTGACACCTAATCTCCTTTCCATCAAAGTAATCCAGGATAATCAGAGACTGCTACTGACTCTATATTAGGTTATTCATTAGGTTCTTTCACGTTTTTTAGCACCTCACATTTTTATAATGAATTGCCTAGACATACACCAAACCACTTAGCTTAAAACACTTGTCTCATTCAGCCCTGAATGTTCAGTTCTACTTCTGTGTTCTAGTTCCAGCGATTTAGTTTAGAAAATTTTAAATGCTTACATTAAATGCTTAAAATTTAAATTCCTATGCTGAAAAGGGGAACTGGATTGTATGACAGGCTTACACCTGACTGCTGTTGGTCTCTCCTACCTCTTCTGAAAGTTCCTGGAGTGCTCAGACTGACACTGGGTCCCCTATGGGCTATAGGGGTAGAAGGCACGGATAAGGTTGCTTGCACAGCTGTGTCCGTTCTTTCTGCCTCCAGAGTACTTCGTATAGGCGTTTTGGGTTTCTCCTGCTTCTGCTGCACTGCAAGTTCTTGCCGTAAGTCTAAAGAGAAACATTTCAATATAGATCAACATGCATGAGAAATGCTCTTGTTAGGTTATATGGCTGACCCTCCCCACCACTGCATTTCATTGCCTCTGTCTATGAAGTAGCTTCTATAGCAGGGGCAGGTAAAGTCCAGCCCACAGCCCCCTCCATTTCCCAGCAGCCCCTGCCCAGATTGCTACAGCCGGTTTCCATGGAGAGCTCAGCAGCAGCGGTGCCCTGATAGCAAGGGGTCAGGGTTTCCATGGAAACTGGCCCCAGCAGCACTGGCAGGGCACACAGCTGAGCGGGGAGCTGTTCCAGGGCTCAGCTCTCCAGTAATGCTGAGTGTCACAAAACCATCGCGAGATTCAGGATTTCGAAGTTAAAATAACTCCGACTCGCGAACTCCCGATCCAACCCTCAGCTCTCTGGATTTTCCCAGCTCCTAAGTGGAGGGAAAGGGGCGGAGGAAAGGGGAGGGGGAAAAAGATCGAGGCCCCCACGGTGAGGGAGGGAGTGGGGCAGGAGCAGGGACGGGGCGAATGGGGGCCCGGGGCCGGTCATTCAGAGGTGCAGGGGAGGGGGGCAGCTCCCCGCAGCAGCACGCACCCCTGGGGGAGGCATAGGGGCATGTGCCCCCCATGGGGCAGAGGCGGGCTGCCCCCTGTGGGCTGGGGCTCTGCGCCCTGCTCCAGAGCTCAGCCTCACAATGCCATTGCCACCTGCCAGGCAGGCAGGGGACCTGGGGCAGGCAGCACATCCCCATGGGGGACATGGGACAGGAGGCATACTGCGGTCCCATGGCTGAGTTCCCGGGATAAAGGCAGCAGGGTACAGAGCCCTGAGAGAGCAACCTGCCTCTGTCCCATGGGAGACACGTGCCCCCATGCCTCCCCCAGGAGTGTGGGCTGCTGCAGGTAGCCACCACCACCCCCAGCACCTCTGGACAACCCACCCCAGCCCCAGGGCCCCATTCACCACTGCCCCTTCTTCCACCCCACTCCTTCCCTCCCTCCAGGGCCCTTGATCTCCACCCCCACTCCTTCCCCACCCCCACTTTCCCTCCATTTACCAGCTGGGTGCTGTCCCTGTGTCTCTGTCTATCTGCTCCTCACTCTCAAGCCACAGCCCACCCAGCCCTGCTGCTGCTACTCACTCCTGACCCACAGTACCCCACATCATAGATTCATAGATTGTAGAGTCGGAAGGGACCACAGAGGACAGTCATGTCCGACTCCCTGCCCCTGGCAGGAAAGAGGACCAAGGTCAGACAAGCCTCCTCTTGTCTATCAAGCCTCCTCTTGAAGACCTCCAAGTTAGGCGATAGTACCACCTCCCTTGGAAACCCATTCCAGATTCAGGCCACCCTTACTGTAAAAAATGTCTTCCTAATGTCCAACCTGAATCTAGTCATCTAGTCTCCACTAGTTTGCACCCATCCTGCCAGGGTGTATGGGGACCCTCTCTCTCCAGGCTCCAAACCCCCCCTCACCCACAGCCCCCAACACCTTCACAAATAACATACACACATTTCAAATATAGCATCCCATGATTTACGTGCCAATCTCTCGACGTTTTAAGAGTTCGTCTCATGATTTTTGGCACGGTGGGGTTGGCAATACTGCATCTTGCAGCGGTGACAATGTGGTTGGAACCAGGGCAGAGCTGGGAATCCACTCCCCGCATACCGCAGGCAGGGGCACACAGGCAATGGATCATACTCTGCCCCAGCTCCGGACCATGCTGTCACCATTGCAAGATCCCAACCCCGGCCGTGGAGCCCCTCCTTACCCAACCACATGCTCTGCCAGCACTGCTGGGGCTGGTCTCCATGGAAATCCTAACCTCGTGCTGCCAGGGCACTGGCACTGCTGGGGCCCGCTGGAACCCAGCCGCAGCAAGAGGAAGAGGCTACTGGGAAATGGAGTCTGGCCCTGGCCAGATCTGCCATTTTGCCCACCCCTATTCTACAGGCTCAAAATTCTGAGTGCCTTAGCCTGACCAATCAGGAAACCAGGCCTTACTGGGATTGTGTCACCCTCACGATAGTGATTCCAGGTATAATTTTACTGCTACTTATTAACTGTGCACTTCAAGATGACAATGAACTCATCCTCCATCCATCACACAGATGAAGGGTTTTACTCCCATTTTACAGATTGGTAAATTGGGCACAGGGAAAATAACTGAATTGTCCACTGTGAAGTTTGTGTGAATTAAACAGATAGTATTCACTCATGAGGGTATATTAACAAATGGCCTCTTCAGACTGTCCTCATTGGCTCCTTTCTTATAAGCTGGTAAAGGATGGAGATAGACAATATCCCTACTGTATTAGCTAAAAATCACATCCTTTGAACTCACAATGAAGTGTGCAGCTAGGACAAGAGAATGTATGCCCCACTCCAAGAGGATGTCCTTGTCTCTAAAACAGAGGCCTCACAGAAGGACATACGGCATTCTGGGACACATCTTTGGCCCCTGGTCTGCTACTGAATACTCTCAATACAGCAAAGGAGCAGGGGAGCTTCCTGAGTTGTTTCTAAAAATTAAGGTCCAAATGCCTCACAAAGTTAAACGCCCAACTTACCAGACACTGACAGTTGGGGGAGGATTTAATAATTGGGAGTTTGGAAGGGGAAGCAGGGGTCTACCTAAACCAATGTTTTCTAACCTCTAGCTTCATCCTTCAGGCGCTGCACTGACTCCAGGAGGTTCTCCTTCTCATCCAGCTCACTTTCCAGAAAGGCATTTCTTTCAATAGCCTGGTTTAAACGCTGTTCAAAATCTTCCAGGGACATTATAGTGGCTCTGTGTAGGCCAGAAGAAAAATAAATTTATACAGTGGTCACTACTGGATTCTCCACACAAACCCTATTTCAGTGTGGAGAGTGGAAAGCAGAAGTGACTTAACTTTAAGCTTGTAAGGGATTAAGAAACAAACAATCCAACATATGTACTGCAGCTTCAGAAAGTTCAGTTTAACCAGTACAGCACCATAATGCACCTGCTCAATTTTATGAGACCCCCCCCCCAAAACAAGGCAGAATTGGAAAAACATCTTTGCCACCTTTTTGCTCTTTCCAAGTCATCATTTGCTTGCTCAAGTTCCCGAATATACTTCTGAAGTTGATCTTTAATGGCTTTTGTCTGCGCCAGGTCTTCTTCTAGTGAGGAGATCTGCCGATAGCCTTCTGAATGCTGCATTTCAATCTTTTCCTAACCAAAGAAACACAAAACACCAGGTCAGGGATTTAGCAGGCACATCCCCTCCTTCCTGCTATGTTTACTCTGCCCTTCTCAGTCAGCGAGATGTGGGTCCTAGCGACAAACTTCTCATAGGCCCAGGCTTCTACTGGCAGGTCCCAAAGCAAGCTTAGGGCTCTAGCCACTGCAGATACAATTATCTAAGCTGGTTACCTAATAGGACATTTTTAAAACATGATGTCAGTATCCCTTTCAGGCATATGCATAATCTGGCCTGTACTGCAATAGTTCACACACCACAGCCTTGGCACAGAACTACTTTAACTTGCCAGATTCCTTTCTTGAAGATCCCAAGATTGCCACCCATTAACATTCCTAAAGCACTTATCACCCCAGTCGCTAGGCAGTCAACTTAAGTCACTAAAACAAATCCACAAATCAGAAACTCTTTATTTCCATCCTTAGTAATTTAAAGAGAGCAGTTTCAAGATGTGTGTGAAGCCATGCAAAATTAAGAAACTCTGAACTGATAATAGGATGATTAGGCGCAGACACCAAACATTCCACAACTTTTTACACTTTATTCCTTCCTAGTCTAAATGACTTGAGCATGAACAAAGGCATAGTTTAACTTAAAATTTCCAAACAGTAAGCCCATTTATTGAAAGCACAAGACCTACAAACTGGGCTCCGAGGCAGTATCTCTGTTTATTTTTAGATAGCATGAACTCTACTGTTTATACTTGGGGTGGAAATACAGAGGACAATTGGGGAAGCTCAAAGTTGGAGACTGTGGGACCTGGCAAACTTCTGCATTGTTGACCTAGATGCGGACACTGGTTCTTGAAATAGATGGCAGCTACCAAGCTCAACAGCCTCACAAGTTTAAAGCTTCTCTCTCTTGAACTGATTTAGATAAAAGACCAGAACTGTGAGGTCTGAGCCTTTGTTTTTTGCAAACTGTAATAAACTGTCAGCTGATCTGGTAATCAATGGAGTCTCTGTTCCTTCATTGCAGGCTGTCACCGTAGTTTTCAGTCTGAATGAATAGCCAATTGTTAAAAAGCTTGTCTCCTACAGAATATGCTTTATCAAGTTCTTTGCAGTGAAGAATTATTAGTTTTTCCAAATATTTATTCTGGTCTTTCTGTGGCTTTATGGTGATGTGCATCATTTCCATCCCAGGTTCCCTGACAAACAATGCTTGTCATCTCCTCTCTTATACCAAAACGTTCTGCATGTGGGAAGAACGCACTTACCCGCTAGCTCATACAGCAACAAGTTTATTGCAGATTTTATTTTCATTGGAATAGTTTACCTTCTCCCCAAGAGCGTCATCCCGGGTGGGTTTGTGTAGGACTGACGCAACAAACTACACCAACGTTCCATGCAAGACGTCAGGAGATCAGTATTGTAAGGACATTTACCTGTTGGACTGAGCAGTACTTTAAACTGCCCGTTGTAATACAACATACGGCTTTGGTTTTGATTTTGTTTCTGTAAAAATTTTACAAAGTGCAAAAAAAAATAAAAGTCCCTTAAAACGAGTCTAAATTGTTTAGTGTCCCCATCAGGTGTTTATTACCTAGTTAGTGACGCATGGAAACAACTCGTACAACAAGCACGATAAGTAAAACCCAGGTTCATCAGCTATACATACAGCTTAATTCTCCTTAGTTCAGTATTCAATCCAATTCAGCAGAGCATAATTCATTAATTCAGTGCTTGTTTCCACAAATACTGAACTGGGAAAATGCTGAGGAAAATTCTTCAGGTTTCAGACAACTGATATTTAAAATATTTATACTAAACCTCCAAACAGTGTCACCAAGATGATTTCTGAACAGCAGATGTCAAAGACCTTTGTCAAATTTGAGTAAATTTAGTACAATTCCCCAACAGTGATAATTATTGGAGGGCTTTTTTCCCTGCTTTTAGAATGGTCAGCAGGAGACTCCTGAATGTGCCCAAAACAGAACCAGACCGATTTTGTTTTTTCTACTGTATCCTTCTGATATTCATAGATTCATAGATGGTAGGGTCGGAAGGGACCTCAACAGATCATCGAGTCCAACCCCCTGCCTAGGCAGGAAAGAGTGAGACCCCTTTCCCCTTCTGTTCTGCTGAGAGGGTCACTTCCCAGTCAGTAGATGGGCTGGATATTTTTGCACCCTAGGTGCAGCACTCTGCACTTGTCCTTGTTGTACTGCAGGCTGGGTCTCGTGGGGTCCCATCAACGGAAGTAATGTTCTTCCATTACTGTCTCCCAATTTTGTTCAAATAATTTCACCTCAATGAGATTGTATCCTGAAAGTGCTATAAATGAGCACTTTTCCTTTATAGACCTCAAAAGCACTTTTCAGAAGGTGCAAGTTTTGTTATTCACAGACGGAGGAACCAAATGCTGAGTGGTTAAATTCCCCTTCCATCAAGACAGCTAGAGACTACTTTAAGATGCGGTATTAATGGAATACATGTCTGATTCCCAGCACCTGTCCTACCCACTAGACCAGGGGTGCTCAGCCTCCACCCTGGGGAGCCAAATGTGGCCCTCAGAGCCTTAGAATCCAGCTTACAGGTCCCTACAGGTTGGGAAATAAGGTGGTGTGGGAGCAGTGGCAGTTAATATCCCCAATCCTCTGCTGCTAAAATCCTAATCCCCGTGGAATGGACCAGATTTGAGCTATGACCCTCTCCCCACATGGCCAGATTGTAGCCAGGCCAAATCCTCTTCCCTCCACATGGCTGAGTTGGGACCAGGCTGCCAGGTTGGGGCTGCCCCCCAACCCCAATCTCCTGCAGGGCCAGGTCATGACCCTCCCATCTGCGGGGCCAAGTTAAGGCTAGACCAAGCCCCCTAAATCCACGAAAGAGCTGGATCAGGGTAGGGCTGCACCCTTCCCCTTTCTACGGCCAGATGGGGCCCCACCAGACCCAGCCTGCAGAGGGACTGGGCACTGCCCATCTAACCCCCTGGCCAACAAGGTTGAGCACCACTACACTAGACCAATGAGGTGTACAGATATAGTGATCACAGCCACTGCATGTTTAAACAAGCTAATATCACTGCGCTGTGCAGGAACACAGCGCAACTGAATTTACCTCTGGATTACTGACAATCTTTTATTGCTGTGGTTTACTACCTGAGCCTGTAAAATAGTACTGTACAGACAGAAGACAGAAGAGGTCTGACAGTATGAACTATAGCATTTAGGGGTGCACCAATAGAGATTTGGCTCCTGGATGCCTGTGTGCTGCGCTGCAGCTGCACATATACACACGTGGCATTAATCAGTCATGTTACTGGCCATTCAACCAAAAAAAGCTGATTGCCAATACAGTCAATTTTTCTTATAATTGGTGCCGATTCAATATGGGACCAATGTATCGCTGCACCTCTAATAGCATTAGTCCCAAGATCCTTGCAAATGACTGCTTATTTTCTTGATATTGATGCAAACTATTTTTGTGGTTTGGCAATCTGTGTCATTATGACCAGCGCATCACTATTAGTGGAGTTCTATGCTTCTTGGAGGACTTCTCCTCTTCCCTGTCTCTTTACCTTAATTGACTCCAGCTCCATTCGAAGGCGATTATTTTCTGACAGAAGGTCCCGATTTCTGGATTCTGTTTGCTGCAGCTGTGTCTCCAGCTCTGCTTCATACTCCCGGCTCCCCTCCTGGAACTCCCGCAGCTCCTCCTGTGTATTCTCTGCACTAAAGCACAATTCCAGTTACAGAGTTATCTTGGATCAAGGCTCACTAATGCTACCTCCTCGCTCACAATGCAAACGTGACCAAATCAAATGCTCTGTGAGCGCTAATACAGCTGAAGGGTCTAGGCCTGCCTGCCACACATACATTTTCAAAAAAAAGCAAAATAGAAATGCTGGCATGAAGATGCCTCTCTGCAATCAAGACACACTGGCTGCTTACAGGTGTAAAAGAAAACCAAAGCAGCAGCAGTTTACTTTAAATTCAGTGTGTCCCGAGCTAAGCCCAGAAGATGCATCATGTTAGTTTGCTCCAGCTCACCCAACATCTGCATAGATCAGCTGCTCCAGCAGAACTTTTCTGGTGCTTTTATCTAATAGCTGATTGAACCCACAAGCAGCAAACCATGGCTTTTGGTTTTTCTCCACAACTGTCAGCAGCTATTCGTACTGAACAAATACCTCTAACCATTCATCTCCAGACAGGGGATTACAGGCCCAGTCCCTCTACTGGAGTGCAAGACATTAATAGGATCCTACCAGCTTCTTATGTTGCACACCCTCAGTCATGCTTAATTGATTGAACATTTAAGATATTAAAATATTTAAATATTAGTGAAATCTCATGTGCAGAAATTTCCTCTGCACCATGCAGAGAACACAAGCCTGTTCTCCATATTAATCCAAATATTGCTACAATGATCTGAAAGAGGTCTGAATATTCAACATCAATGCATTTTCCAGGCCTGATCCCTAGAGATATATACAGATGTCCCTAGAGGGATATAACCTTCTGACCTGCAAAGCTATGAAGGTCACAATTTGCACCACTGAATTGGCTGAAATATTCCATTTACCCTGACCTGTATGAAGAGAAAGAAGATGCAATGAAGACGCTCCACTTGATCCAGGAGTTTACTCTGACTTTGGATACTGTTGAACTGTACCTGGGCAACATATTCCTGACTCAAACTACTTCTGAAAGGCTGCTGAAGAAGCAAATGCTTTCATGGGGGCCTAAACCTCAGGATCAGCTATGATGATTTCACAACTCCATCCACTACAGGATTCCTCAGTGGGTTACAGGATCCCGTGCTCTGCAATTAGAGACACTCTGAGCACCCAAAATCCTGCTGCAGTCTGTGTTAGGCCAGGGTCATAGACACAGGAACAGAAGAGGCAAGGGCCTTGGGTTGTCTTTTGCTTAGCACTACCAAATGACCAGACTTAACTCAACAGGCACACCCTCCATGCTAGCAGTATCCCCACATAGGGTGGGGAACCTGCCTCAAGATTTTGCCCCACCTCTATGAAACCCTATGCTGCTGACTGATGCTCATGTCACCACACCTTCACCACTCTTGCTTCCCATAGCAAATGGATTTAAACTGGCTCAACCACATCTCCACAGCTCTGACTGCAATGTGCGCACACCCTATCACACACGCTGCCCTTACCACTGCTTGTACTTCATCGCCAGTTCTTTCCAGTATCTAGTTTCTTCTTCCACTGAACTGAAGTGATGTCTTTCCAAGTCTTCCATGGTGAAGTCCCCAGTTGAAGTCTAGAGCTCTTGTTGCATTTTCTTCCCCCTCTGGAAGTTAAAAATAAATAAATCACAAATTCAAGCACCAGCATCCTCCTGTCACTGTATTATCCCACTGCATCCACCTATAGGAAATTTCATCCCGGGATGCATTCAAAACCAAACTGGACAAAGTCGAATGTACTCCGCAGCAAAGGAATGAGTAAATTACTTATTTAGAGCTGTTCTCTCTCAAAGGTCCCTGAATTTGCTGAAGACTGGTACCACACATCTCATTAAGTTACTTCACCCTCCATTTGACTACATGGTTCTATAGAATACAGAACACGATGGTCACAGCATAAACAGCAGCTATGGAGATGCAGCCAAACACAGCTGGGGAGGGCGACAGCCCGGAGAGCGCGGTGCCTGGTAAGACCAAGGGGAGGGACACCCAGAGAAATAGAACAAGGTCCTGCAACTAAGAAACTGAACAACCTGAAATGCAATTAGGTTTCACTTCAGCCACAGAGGCGTGGTATTTAATCCAGCACCAGGAACATTTTGATTAAAATTTCTCAGATAGCGAGTTCCTTGGGTATAATTTTCAAAAGCAAACAATCTATGAGCATAACTGCCTAAATCAGTTGGGCACGTGACAATTTTTTCTACCCAATTACTTGAACTTGGCGACTCTGAAGTATTGAGAAGCGTAATAACCAAATGCCATTCCCTGATGCAGTTTATAGATGTTACTAAAAGGTGTTAAAAGCTAAAACTGTTTCATGTGCAAGCGTCTTACAGATGAAAAAAGGTCAATTAAGGTGTCTGCAAGGTTGGGCGAGGCAAGGATTATGCAGACGAACATCCTCAACCAATACACACCTCTACACACTGTGGAGTAACCAGAGGAGGAGCAGAGCTCCTCCTTTATCGCCAGTCAGAGAACCAAAAACGCAGGAGACTCCAGGGCCAAGACGACTGCGACTGATTTCAAGCCGCCACTTTAGATTAAATTTAAATGCCACAAAAGGCAACAGAAAGAGTGCTCCTCCAATTTATTTACACACCCAGGTGTTGACCTTAAAAGGGTAAAGAGCAAGCTCAACTAAAGCTTTGAAGATTTTCAGCAACGCAAGATCGAACGGTCACAAACCCCACCGTGACCGATTCAAGCTGGACATCAGGAAGAACTTCTTTGCTGTCTGAGCCCCCAAGGTTTGGACTAGACTGCCACCAGAGGTGGTTCAAGCACCCACTTTGAACGCCTTCAAGACACATTTGGATGTTTATCTTGCTGGGATCCTATGATCCCAGATGACTTCCTGCCCCTGGGGCAGGGGGCTGGACTCGATGATCCTCCGGGGTCCCTTCCAGCCCAAATGTCTATGAAATCCATACACATCCAATACCCTGCTCCTGTACACATTCACAAAACCTATATTCCAGCAGGGGCTCGTGGTATTAAAGGGAAGTTAAACAAGGCCCTTAGAGCAAGATACTGCTGCCAAAAAATTCTATATCCACAGATTTTAGACCAGAGGAAATAAAATAAATCCAAGGCACCATCATATATGGCCCTCTGGGGGACCTCCATAAATGAATCCTGAAATATTACAAAGACCATCTGATCTCTCATTCTCCCTCAGGGTTGAGGCATGCAAGATCACTTCCTGGCTTGGCTCACCATTAAAGCCTTTGGGCAACAGTATCAAATGAATCTAAATAATTTAAGAGCCTAAGGTCCTGATTCCTAAAGGTCTTTGCACCTAGTTCTGTTGAGCACTGCAACACAGAAGTGATTTCCATAGCTACAGCCACCAATGCGCTCAAAAGCCAAAGTGTATGAACAAACTAATTATAATGAGTTATACTATCACGATATTGATTGTACCAAGGAGGTGGAGGGTATTACTGCAGTTTAGGTACACTGTGGTACTGTTTCATGTGTCTGTTCTAACTTGCAGTAAGTGGATACTAACCAGGGCAGCTTTCCCTTGAAGGAAACGGAGCTAAATCACAACAGCTTAATTTCCATGGTTTAATTCATTTGTCGATCCATTCCCTTAGTGCAGCGCTCAGCAATGCTTGTTAGCAGCGGGCTGGAACAGCCAAGCTCAGGTCTGGGGCAGGCCAGCACTAGCATCAGGCCACTGCCACCGCTGCTTCTCCCTCCTACCCAGCCATAGCACAGGCAAAAACCCATCTGCCAAATGCTGCCAAAGCCCCGTCACCAGAATACTGACAAAGGACCCCAGCCCTGCAGGCTGGATCCAATGGCTCCGCAGGCCACCAAACCCTGCTTTAGTGCCTAAGCTGCTTGTGAAAATGGGACCCGGCCACCTCAGGACTGCTTGCAATGCAGAGCAAAACAACATCTAAATCTAAAAATGCAAGTCTAACTCTCCTTCAGTGGGAGTTGAATGTATTGGGGGGGAGGGGGCCAAAAGGAAGTCTAGAAGTATCCAAGTATTAGGTCCAAAGGAACTTTGGTCTGTTTAAACAGACCAGAATAAAAAAAAATACAAAAACCCTAAGTGCTAATTAGATACGTATGATGCAAGCAACACATCTAGGATTAGAAATCACGGGCATTCATACACACACTTTTTTTCCAGCGACACACCGGTAAACCTGCTGCTTTGGAGACTTGATTAATCTGAGTGAGCTGAGAAGAGCTGAGCTGTGCCGTGTGCAGGTGTATAAGTGGCAAAACGTGCATCAGTGCGCAGCAAATGGTGGCAGTGCGCTGTTGAACTAAAGCATCTCCGAGGTGTTTTAGTTCAAAAGTGTGCCGCCATTTTCTCAGCACTAGCGTGCATTTCGCCACTTATATAACTGCATGTGTCACAGCGCTGGGTGCTTTTCAAAGTGCCTGGCACTGCGATGCATGCATGCGTAAAAATGCCCCATGAGTGGCCAACACTCAATACTCGGCTCAGACTTATATCTGCGCTGAACTTGGTCTAAGGTCCTTTTGTCCCCCTACACATGGGCGCACAGTTTTGAGGATGGGGAGGAGGATTTCTGTTTAGGTTCCTAAAGGCATGACTACATGGGTAAAACTTCCCAACAGACCATACAGGTATAATTTATAATGTAATAGAGATTGTAATGGACTGCCAAAATAACCTCTTGTGTGGTTGTCCTTATAAATGATAATTGTATGGTCTGTTGGGAAGGTTTAATTTATAAGGACAACCACACAAGGTTATTTTGGCAGTCCATTATAATCTCTATTACATTATATAATGTTACATTTCTCTTTGCAAACAAGTCCTAACATACACCTAAAAACTCTGAAAACATACATAATTGGGCACACTTTGTTCCATCACTCTCACCCCTAAGTAATACCTACGGCCAACTCATTTCAAATTAATGATGAAACTGGAAGTACATGTTTGAAAAATTTGAGGCCCTCCATTTGTTATGACAATGTAACATGATAGAACATGAGTTGTTTTATACCGTAGGTGTGCGTCTCATGCCTCCAACTAGCTAGGATGTACAATTAGATAATAGTACATCCAGACTTCTTTCCATCCACATCACAAGGCAACATCCAAAATACATCCAAAATGATTAAATGTAAGGTAGAGATGTTTATATGGCATTTTCAAAATAGCTTTCTTTTAACTAAACTTTGCCCTTGCATTTTAGGCTATCAGAGCCAGTCCAAATGTTAAGTTTCGTCACAAATAAACTTCAACTGAATCAAAATGCCTCCATGAATTTTTGGTTCATCTTAAAATACCAGGAAAAACATTTGTTTTGAAACTCTCTTATGCATTTACCACCAATACAATGTGCTGCTGGCACCAAAGAACTCGATTTTAAAGGTAAAAAGTTAAACCAATTAGTGTAACTTTTCTAAAACTTAGACAACAGCCAGAATGAGAAAGTTTTGTCATTTTTTTTTAATTTTCACTTTTCACTGTTACTACTATATGCAGCAAAGATAGGGAAGATGTTTTTAAGATAGTTTTGTTTTGACTTGGCAACACCCCCTTAAACTAATGTCAATCTGTTGGCCTGGTAGACATATATGGTTTTATGTGAAAAAGAATACCAAATGATACTGCAGAAAAGCTGTTAGTTCTGTTTTGAAAAAGGTTTTAGCAATGTTTAGTACATGCTTTATTGTTGCCATCAAAAACAAGATGAAGTCACACACACAGGCACTTTGCCTACACCTCATTTTCATCTATGTAGAAACCGGGAGGAAATATTTGGTCAGACTTCCTGCTTGTAACTAGTATAGCTGGCCACACACATTACAAAATCATAGCATCAGTCAGACACTGAAGTTGTAGGTGAGGAATAAACTGCTGCAGCAACAAAACCAATGTCTGCATGTTTCATTCCAGGAAGTGATTTCACAGAAGTGACATCAGTGCTGCAAGATACTTGGACACAACATACAGGACCGCAGCTCATCTGCAATATAATTTGAGTAGAGGAATGAAAATACAGTACCCTCTGTTAGAGAGAGCGCAAACCAGATCTATGCTTTGAAACAGTTCAAAACAACTCTTGTGCTTAAAATTAAAAAAAAGATGTTTTAAAGATCCATTTAACTTGGCAGCTCTGCAGTTACCACAGCCAGGCTTCAGAATAACTCCACTGCCTAACACCAAATACTGCAGGGAGGGGAGGAGGAGGGGAGGGTGTCAGGAGAGACCCTCTGAAAACAATGAGAGCTAATAAGTACCCTCGGAGGCAAACTTCCCAGGGAATCCAGAAGTCCTGTTTAGTCTGTCAGGGCCCAGAGAGGACAGGGTTCCTGGTGGACATCCTCCCCTAATCATAAACTTGTCTCCCAACACCAAAGCAAGGGTCTGCTCCAAAGCCTAGGCAAGCCATTGAGTCCAGTAGGTTTGCAATCAGGCTGGATGCAAATAGGGCAAGGGCAGGGACAGAACATATGCAGGGCTCTCCTTGTCTGTGAACATGTGCTGGTGTTTGCACCATACATCATGAGAAGCCATTGTTTTCTTTCCTAGACTTCAGATAGAAACCTTACAGACTAACTAAATCAGAGATGCACAAGCTTTTGTGAGCAGCAGCTTACTTGATCAGATACCAAG